CCTGCTGTTTTCAGAGGAGGAAGCCAAGACACAGTGATTAAGCCAGCATCATGGCATGAAGCATTGCCACAGGAGCTGGCGATCTCTTGTGAAATCAGAGCAACCCAGGCTGCAACAATGTCCATGATGCCTTACTGGCTGTGAGATCTTCCTTTGACAACGTCCAGGACTTTGCAGAACAGGGCTGAAATTGTGAGCTGATTCAGTCACTAAAACCAACAGTAAAATCTTTTGTTGTTTTTTCACTGTGTTTCTTTTTACAGGGATTTGCTGCCCTTCACCCTGAAGCTGCCACAAGCAATATTAGAAGCCAGTAGCTCTCAAGACCTTGAAATTATCTCTAGTCTGGGGATAGGTAAGTCCCTCAAAGCAGGCAGAGTTCCACTCAGACTTGTGAGAACCATGGTGCCTCGCACAGACATAATGCAACTGGAGTATAGATGAACTGTTGTCTTAAGAATAGCTGAGGAAGTCTGAATGCAAGAGAGAAGATGTTTATGATCTTTGTTTTTATAGAAACACACTGAAAAAGAAGCCACTTGCCCCTTTGGACATAAACCTCCACTTGGACTTCTGTGCAGGGCATGGGACCTACAGTCTCACTGTTTAAGCTGGGGTCTTCAACAGCTGAAGTGCAGCACAGCCTCTCAGGATAGCCTACACACATTGGAAGTAGTTGGCATCTGAGGTATACAAAAAGAGGAAAACACCTTTGCAGTTTCCCCTTCTGATGGGTGGAGGCAGTGCTGATGGAAGTGTGATATTTTTGAATTTTGGTATTTCTGCTTCCTCTTGCAGGATTTCTAGTTGGTAGAGAAATGTGTACCGTCCCAGACTATTCTCTTGCCTCACACTAATCAGCTACAAAAAGGAATGTTATTTTTAGTGACAGCACCAAACAAGCAAATTTTAGGTCGGATGTATAAAGTTACAGAGTTGGAAAATGCAGTTCTGTTAACTAAAGGAGGTCTCTTTCCTATTCTTTCCCATTTAACACACTCAAGTTGAGACAGCTATTACAGTTAGCCACTCTGATGCTACTTTGCTTTTCAGTTTTCCCTCAGCTGTTGAAAACAGCCAAACAATGGTGAAAGCTGAAGAGTTAGCTTGCTTAGAGATACTCACTAGAATACCCTGGGGCTTTAGGGATCTATTTTTGGATCTTCTGCATTATACCTCCCAGAAGGCATGGGCAAACCCCACTGCTTTCAGTTCAGGCAGCTTTGTTGAATTTGACCATCGAATTTGCCTCTAACACTTTCAGCATCCTCTATTTTGAGTATGTTCCAATTTGTCAAAGCATCCTTGAATATGGGTGTCCAGCCAGCACTTGTTGCTTAAACAAAAGTACTTTGCAACTTCAGACAGCAAGCATAAAAATTTGGATTAATGTAAGAAGTGTATCATGATTCTCCAACCTTCAGTCTAATTTGTGCCAGCAGAGGAGATCCTGACTCAGGTAACAGTCTCCAGCAACTTCTGAAAGGAAGGTTTAACCAAAGCACAAGCAGCAAAGCAATGTTGGTTGTAGTCTCCTTCTTTCTCTCATATACACTGGTGGTCATAAAAGGGATGATGCTCAGAGGTTTGCTTGTCACAGTACATTGCATGCCAGGAAAGTTTCTGACAATGGAAAAAAACCTGCTATTATGTAAAGATTTCCTGGGAAATGATGCTAGCTTCTTGGAGTGCCATGCTGTCTCAGTAAAGTCAAACAGGCTGAAGTAATGAGTGATGCTGTTTACTGCTTCCTAGAACAAAATTTTGTGGGTACAAATGGGTACACAATAAGTGCTGCACTTCCAAAGGAAAGCTTGCATTGTTTGAAATTCTCGTATGTTGCTTTTTGTTTATTTCAAAGTGATAGGTTTTTGGAGTGGGTAGAAGTAAGATGTCTACCTGCAAGGTGGATTGTTCCACAAAGGATCTGGTTGTTATGTATGTTGTCAAAGAGGATGTACTGCAGGCCCTCTAGTCCTGACCTCACTGGTAAAGAAGGGATTTTAGCAGGAGGATTAGCATGGTTGCACTGCACAGAGAGCGTATCTCATCACAGATGTGCCAGAGTCTCAAAGAACTGCTTAATTATCCCTCCCAGAGCGTAGGCTAAGGGAAGAGCCAGGACAACGATGGGAGACAATCAAACTGCCTTTCCTGCTGTACAAGACAGTGGGGCTGGGCTGGGAAACTCCCTCTCTGAAGCAGCTGTGTAGCCCTTGGTAGGACCACCTCATCTGGTCCTTATCAGTTTGAGCGGAGCCTTGCATTTTCATCACAGTGTCTTATCCTGATCACTACTGAGAGAAATAACCAACTTCCCTTTTGTAGGTTGGTTTACTCACCATTTCCTCAGCCCATGAGACTCCACAGTCCTGCGTTTGCTGATACCCAGTAGAGTTGGAGCATTTAGAGGAAATCGTACCCCAGACAGTCTCAGACATGAGGGGAGTGGCAGCATGATGCTGTTATGTGCATTTGCATCTGCACGTCTACTCCCAAATTCTGTTGTCAAGAGTGCTGCTGTTCCTGGTAACACTTTTATTTTAAGCTTCTTTGTTCTCCTCCCTCTCATGGTAGGATATTGGAGAATAAAGCTGTCCTAACCTCAGCCTCCCTAAGAAAACATGCTGACATGTTTATAAAGCTGAATTAGCCATGGATGCTAGCCTGGGCTGTGAGAAGCTAAATCAGAAGTTTTATCCTGATAGGAATGGACAGTCTTTTAGTTCACCTGTGCGTGACTTACTCTGTGCCTATGTTACAGAAAAGCTTGGTTAGAGGGAGCAGAGGGGCAGTGAGGAGTCAGCCTGCCCGTCCTGTCCTGCCTGCAGCACTTGCACCTGCTGGTGGGGAGGGAACAGTCCCTGTCCCTGGGGCAGCTGGCTGTGGCCCAGGGGACCACATCGCTGGCAGAGGGAGGCAAGGCCAGCAGTGGGCTCAGGGCACTGAAGGGGAAAGGCAGAGCTCTGCAGAAAGCAGGTCATGGCGGCAGCAGAAGGAAGATGGCTTTTTCAGCAACGGCATGGACCCAGCTGCAGGCAGGAAGCCATCAAAGGTCATGGCTGCACCAGGGAGCAAAACAGGGAGAAGTGGCCTGTCTTTGGGGACACAGTGGGCAAGGGGGAGGTTTTGTCTGAATGTGTTTCACCCCCAAGTCCTGTGTTGGCTTTAGTTGAAGAGTTTCTTTGCTCTGATTTGAGCTCGGCTATGATCTTCCCAACTGGAAGTCCCTTTGAGCTTTTCTGGGGTTCTGGTTTTTAGGTGGAGGCAGAGGCAGAGGCAGACCCTTCTCAGGCCTCTGGCCAGCTCAGCACTGCACCCCCTTCCCTGTGATGGGCTGGGGGCTGCGCTGGTGCAGCTGACAGGAGAACGGGGTCCTGGCAAGGCACAGCTGAAGGCATCGTCCTGAGAGCTGTACTCAGCACTGAGGGTCATCCCGCACATGTGCATCCCATCCACCCCCTCATGGACCCAGCACATGATATTTTTGCTGTGAGACAGGCTTGACACCAAGCACAGGGCAGCCCAGTTCGCGTCCCCTGTAAGTCCACCCAGAAGAGTGTGGGTCAGTGTCAGCTCTGTGTCCAGGGAGCAAGCATGCTGAAATAGTTAGTTAGTTATCTGCATCCTTGTGTTTCCAGGATTTCCCATCTTCCCCTTCTCCCTAAATCTGTGGGCATCTATACAGTGCTCACCTAGTGAATACCCTCAGAGGTTTATACCCTTTTCCTTGGTCAGAACACATGGAGTTTGCAGGATCCTGTTTCCTGATGCTTCCAGTAGTGGACCCTGGAGTAGCAGCTGTAAGAGTGATTAGAAGTAATTAGACTGGTAAGGCAAGCAGGCTTGAAAACTCACCTCTGAGGGAAGGGAAAAAGGTTAAGTGTGATACTGAATCTATTCAAAAGATGTAGAAACACTTTGTAATTTTTTTAAAACAGGTTCAAAGGCAAATTCTAATAAGAGGTTTGTGACATACAGAAATGACTGCTTGCATCTGAAACGCCATCTTCCTTTTCCAGTCACAGTTGATGGCACTGAAGTACTTAACTATTCTTTAGTCCATCAGTGTGCAACCTTCCTGTGTACACAGTCTTTTGCACCATCTTTCCTCTCTTACACCTGCAGGCAGGCAATCTTAAGGTAAGGTGCAAAACAGAGAGTGGGCATGGCTATGGATAATTGTTATCCAGATCTATAGACTGTAATGGTAATTTTAACCTGTGGAAGGTACTTAAAATCATATGTTTCCAGACTGGTTGTACTGCAAAGCAGGATCAGACCTCTGTGTAGAACAGACTCTGCCACATGAGCTTGCTGCATAGTATAGTCATCTTCACCTGATGTCTCTTGTGCTCCTGGTGCACGTTGGATCCAGACTGTATATCTCAGCCCTGCACCTTCCCACGGTCAGCAAGAGGGAGACCAAACTCACCTGGGGTCTTCACACCCTCACCTCAGGTATCCACATCTATTTGCGTTTGGAGGGCAGTGATCACTGAACAAACCATAGACCTCTCTTCACAGTCGTTCATTTTTGTTACTTGTACCTTCCTGCTCACACTGCACAGGCTTCACAGCATTAATAGTTTTCACTAGATGAGTGTCCTAAAATTGGCAAGAAACAGGTTTCTGGTGAAGCTTCTGAGCTTGTCCCCTGATTTGAAACATCTCACACGCAAAAAACAGGCAACACTTTCTTCACACTGTTTTGTGCAGAGGCGTGAAAGCTTGCACACCATTTCTTTTAACAAAAAGTAGGACTTCTACGTACCGTTAGCAGCTAAAATTCTCTCAGAGCATTTTTTTCATTCTTCTTTTCTTTCTTTCTTTCTTTCTTTTTTTGGACAGATTTCTGGGATTCCTCCTTAAACCACAGAAGAGGAGAGGAGTTATCCCACCCTGCAAAAAACTCTGCTTTCAGCACTGCCCAGGCAGACAGTTTAAGGTCTACCCAATGTTTTGCAAGTAGCACAAACCACTGCTCATGTGAAATTGAGCTGTCAATAGGAAATGACAGGCTGTGGTTTGTGAATCCTATTTTTATAGAAGAGTGCAGTAATCCTTTTCCTCCAGATGTACCTCCTCCTAAAAGCCACGCAGTGAGCACCGATCTCCCCCGTGCCAGCACGCTTGCTGAAAGGAGGTCTCCCCGCCGCCCTCCTCCGCCTCCACCTCCTCACGCTCTCATTCAGAAATCTTCTCTGAAGCTCCTGAGGGATCCCATGACTGCCTGTGAAGAAAATGAGCTGCTTCAGCCACTAGGGAAGAGCATCAAGGAAATGAAAATTGAGGGCGGTGACAATAAAGAAGAAGAAAGGAAGCAGATCTGCTCAGGCAATGAGCCCTTGGCAGTGAGCCCCAAGAAGGGCTCCCAGCCCTCTGTTCCCCCACGGAGGCAGCTGTGTGAGAGGACCTCGGAGGAGAGCTGTGTTGGTAAGCCTGGGAGTTGTGAAACGCTGAAAGGGGAAGGGACAGAAGAAAAACAAGACACAAGTACAGAGAACAGAGATAAAAAGTCGCTGTGCAAAACAGCTATAGAAATGCCTGAGGAGGTTCCCGAAAGGGCTGTATCACAGTTTCAGGAGACAAAGCCCGAACCTGCAGAGAAGAAGGAGGACATGCCTGAGATACAAAGCAATGCCATTGAGAAAGGAAAGTCACCTCCTATCCCACCACCGAGAAGGAAGAGGCTTTCCCAGATACCGAGTATCTCCAGGTCCTGCCAGTTGAAGCAAAGAACAGTGGCAAACGCGACCACGGCCACAGCACAGGCTTTGGGCAAGAGCAGCTCAGCTACAGTGGCAGGTGGTGCCACTTGCACACACACGGAGACTGAACAGGGACATGGCTGCCAATCCATCAGCTCAGCCGAACTGAGGGGTTCACACTCCTCCCTGGAGGGCCCAGGAGGCAGCGCTGTGGCTCAGGCATCAGCATCTGAGCCAGACTCCTACTCCACCAGCAGCACAGAGGATGACCTGGAGATGCTGAGTAGTTCGTCTGGTAAAAAGACGCGCTCCATGATCTTGGTCAAGGCCAAGAACAGGCTGTCCTTTGTAAGCCTGTCCAATGTCTTCACAGTGTTTTTGTCCAGTGACAGGAAGCTGCAGAAGAAGATAGTGGAGCTGGCACAGGACAAGGATTCGTACTTTGGCAACCTGGTGCAGGACTACAGAGTGTACAGTTTAGAGATGATGGCAAAGCAGAGCTCCAGCACAGAGATGCTGCAAGAAATCCGGATGATGATGACGCAGCTGAAGAGTTACTTAGTGCAGAGCACTGAGTTGAGATCTCTGATAGACCCCACCTCCTATACTGAGGAACAGTTAGGTAGGTGACTGTGCTTTACTCATCCTAGGGCAGGATTTGGGAAGGTGAGGAGGAAGACAGGATTATGCAGACACAGGTTCTGCTTTACAGAATTATAAACCATTTTCTAAAAGCTTAGGGGTGCAAATTGAAGTCTTCTCTGTGGTTGCCAGCACTTGGAGGAGCAGCTCTAAAAACTGGGAGACCAATGAGGGAGAAAATCTCATTATGAATGTTTTAAAGGGAAGAGTTTGAGAGGAAGAGAGGTGTGTTTTTGTGTATGAGAGAGACGTATGTATGTATATATGTGTATGCATATACACACACACAAATATAAGTGTGTGTATATATATATATACACCCCCACAGAGCTGTGTTCACTGGAAACACAAAAGGCCAACTTCTCCCTGCACAGCTGTGTTCCCCATGGCCTTCCACATCCACTGCCCCACACTCTGCAGTGAGGATGGAGAACTCCCTGCTTGTGGCAGCCAAATCAGGGGTCAGTCACTGTCTCACAAGGACGGACAAGACTACAATAATTTTGAGTGGCAGGTTGGAGGAATCGCTTGATCCCTCTCTGTGTTCCTCAGAGCTCAGAGGCACAGAACAGCTGCCTGCTGCAAGACCACTGCTGCCTCCAAAATGCAGCGTTCACCTCTCTTTGCCACAGACATAGTTTGCCTTTGGGGAGGAAAAATAGGTTTTTTGGCTGTTTAGGGGTGTTTTGTTGCTTTTCTTTCAATATTCTGTGAGGGAGTAATGTGCTACTTCCCTCCTTGCTAAGAAATGGACTGGCCTGCTTAATGTACATTCATGAGGGAATATACAAAAAGCTGTAGGATTTTTTATCTCAGTCAAAGCCGTACAGCCAGAAAAAGCATGCATGCATTCATGCACTCACACGCACTTTTGATGTAAAACTGTTCCTTGAGGACCTGAGAACTAATGCAGAGCCATTTATGAGATCCCTAAGTTGGCTTAAAGCAAGGTGGGAGGTGAAAGACCCCCAACACAGAACATGGCCAACCACAGAAGTGACCAGGGATTCCAGGGGATCCTGCAGCTCCAGTATTAGGTGGGACCCAGCTAAGTAGTGAGCCAGGACCTAGAGGCACTCAGCTATCAGTCTCAGCAGGCCCTGCTGACTTCTTTCTCACCCAGCAAAGGCTTCACATGATCCTGCAGTCTCCCCAGCAGAACAGACCTGCTGCCAGCCCCTTGCCATAGCTGGGAGAGGGGAGCTACAGTTTCACTGCTTGTGCACCTCATGTAATACCTGCAATTTTTTTCCCAATGACCCTTTTCTTCGAGGTAGACGGGGTGTCAGCACAGAGGTCTATCTTGAATCTTGATTAGAGAAGGTGGAAAGGAGGCAGAAAGAAGTCTCCTTGTTCTGCTTGGTAGAGCTGTGTGTGTGCAAAGATCCTCCCACCTTCACGCAGAGACACCTGGTTAGATGCTAGCCCTGTTCACTGGCAGTTCCTTAACAGAATAATGTGGCCCAGTCAGCCTAGGAAGGACTGTCTTCTCCTGTGGAGGACAGGGATTCCCACTGTGGAAGATTTACCATTTGAATTTGTCCTGCTTCAGGCTGACCGATTCTCTGGATTCTTTAAAGTAGTTGCATTTTATATACATAAATATTACTGCCCTTTGTTTCATTCCTCAGTGACTGAGCAGATGACCTCTTTTGCCAATGACTTTTTTGCCTCAGTGCAGGGTGACAAGAGGATCCCTTGCAGTCCCTCCAGCTCTGCCTCTGGTTTCTAGGAGTCAGACAACACACTTTCTCACAGTCTCTCATGCTTCCTTTTGTCTCCTGCTAAATATTAAGCAAACACTCAACCCACACAGGCTATTTCCTGATCCACAGGTTGCATAAGAGGTGACTTAAGTATCAGTAAGTTAGAGTCACTTGAGCAGTAAGGGTGAGAAACTTCTCACCAGACGTTGGTGTCTGCCTCTGAGCTGGTGGCTACAGCCCCTCTTCAGTCACTGCAGAGAAAGGGGTGCTTTGAGGATGCAATTAATTTCATCCTAAAGTGAGTATCTCGAACAGGTCAGAGGGAGATGTCAGAAGGGACATGAGATCAATCCCACACGGCCATCTGTGAGGGCAGGGCTGTGAAAAGAAGCACAGTTAGGTGAGGTTCCTCATCTCTTCCCAGAGCTGGCTTTCCTGCTGCCTGACAGTGCCATGCTGGTCAGCCAGGAGTCAGGCAAAGACAGCAGAGGCTGCTGGTAGCAGGAGCTTTCCTACAGCTCCAGTGGCAGAGACTGCGCATTGATGTTCATCTCAAGCCTATCCAGGACTTCTGGAGGGTGTCGGTAACGAAACGCTTACATCCTGGAATGTAATTTCTGTTTCCTGCTCACAGCTATGCAGTAGTGCATGAGTAACTAACCATATGCTTTCTTAGGAGTTTTACTTGGACCTGTACTACTGCATTGATTATTTATCATGGACTTTTGTATTCTCCCTTCTCCATGCAGACGCAATTGCTGAGACAGCTTTGTACAAATGTGTCCTGAAGCCTTTAAAAGAAGCCATAGATTCTTACTTAAAAGAAATCCACAACAAAGATGGATCTTTACAGCAGCTAAAAGAGAACCAACTTGTGATACAAAACACAACTACCACTGACCTAGGCGTCACGACCAGTGTGCCTGAAACCGTTGTGCTGGAAAAGATCCTTCACAAGTTCACAACCATGCACAAGGCCTACTCCCCAGAAAAGAAGATTGCCATCTTGCTGAAGTCCTGCAAACTCATCTATGACTCCATGGCTCAGGGAAACCCAGGTACAGCACTCCTACTGAAATGGTATCCCTCACTGGTCCTTTTCCACATATCAAAGGAACAGTGCTTATGATATAGTTGATGTGGTAATATACAAATTGGAGGTAACAGTGATGGTCGGTGTGTTTGATATCAGCTGTCCACAGGTTGTGTTCAGAATGGGCTGGTTAGTGACTGTGCAGTTCTGTGCACTAATAACAGGTAGAAGATGTTACGTGGTTAACTTTAAACTCTGTAACTTCAAAAACCAGATCTCTGTAAGTGTATGTTTTATGGGTAACATCCTTTTTGCACAGGTCTTCACATAGCTTTTCATAAATCCTCAGACCTCTGTCCCAGCTTGTAGAAGCTTAATGGTAAATTCTAGCAATGGGTCTTTTGGGAAAGTCTCTTCATTTGGCCTTTACAAAGTTTGGCCTAAATTGAGGAGGAGACACAGAATGCTGGTACTGTTTGTTACTAATTCCTGATGCTCCAGTAAATTCCAAAAGCCACTACTACGCTTCTTTGGTGTTAGGAAGTATGTGCTCTGAGTATAAATATAACTTGGGCCTCAGGCCAACCACTAAACGCACACATTAAGCCCTTGGCCTGCAGACAGGTTGCATTTTTGCAGATAGACCAGGAAGCCCCTTCCAGGATCTGCCTTGCCAGTTTAAGAGCTTTCTTTGTATACTGGTAAGCTGATGATCAGCCACGCATAAATTTGGAGAGAAGCCAGAGAGTAATTTGCAACAACCTGCAGTTGTTCAAGAACTTACAAACTCCAAAGGTGCTTTTAGCTGTCCTGCTTTATTTTGTACTGACAACAGCCTTGGAGCACTCACACAGGAATTGGTGTGTCCCTTCTGAGCCTCACCTCAGGGTTGTCCCCTGGGCAGCATGCCGCAAGGTTCAATGGCCAATCCAGACACATTAACAGCAGAGCAAGAAGCCATCCCAGGGCTCAGCCTAAGCTGCAAGGTGGATAGGAGCTCAGACTGTCTTCAAGTATTATTATAAGATTTGGACATAGGCAGGGGAATTTGCTGTAACTTTGTTAAAACAGTTATATTAAGCTTGAGAGTAAATTTGGTATAGATCAAAGACTTGCATGTCTCATTAAAACCCACATAGGAGATTCGTTCTCCTTCCGATGCTGGTGGTACATTACGTATCTTCACACCTCAGCTCAGGGCTGGTATTTCTCTGTTGCAAGAAATGACATTGTGTCAGTTTATGTAACAGAAATTAGGGGTCAGGGAAATAATTCCAAAAACCCTACATGTTTTAAAAGATTGACGTTCATGAAATCAGAAGATTTCATTGTGGTTTGCTATGCTAACCAAAGCACTTCATTTCGGCCAGCTCAGCTGTTTTCTCATGTTGAGTACTATTGCAAGTAGGGTGTAGGTCAGAAGCTGACTTCAGCCAGTGTGTCCAGTTCCCTCTCCAGTATGTATGATCAGTAATGCATATCAGGGCCTGGTCAGAAGAAAACTGGCCTGGCATTAACGAAATGTACCCCAATGAATTCAGACCAGAAAAAGAGGTTAAGGGGAGTTGAACGCTACAGTCTAACTCCTGGGAAACAGTGGACTCAGAGCAATTGAGTGAAATATCCTGTAGACCCACTTAGAAGTGAAATGTGTGCAACTTCTTCAACAGAATGAACTGACCCCAGACCACTTTGATTTTCCACCTGGCAAAGACAAATATTCAGCAAACTGAAATATTTTTCTGACAGGGAATTCCCAGCTGGTAGTGTGCAGAAGAGCACAGTATGGGCTGCTCAGACCAGATTTCAGTGGGTAGGAATTCTCCTCCTCCTCTCTGCCCACCTTGAGCGCAGCAGCCCAGGGCTCCTTGTACTCTCAGCCAGCGCCGAGGCAGCGCAGTGCTCTTCGCACAGGAAGAGCAGCGGCCATGCTCGGCTTCCTGTGCAATAGTCTGTTCTTCTTTCAGCTCCTTTTGGTCACTGCTGAATTAGAAAGTTCCCTCCTCTTCCAAGATCAGAGCAGGTGGAACACAAAACTAAACATTCCCTACGCCGCAGGACCAAAATCAGTTTACGTCTGTCAGAAAAATTACCTGTTCGCTAACATGGTAACTACTTATGTTGTCTGGTTTAATTTGCAATTTGGTAGCTCAGGCCAGGTCTTTATCCACTTTAGCCTGACTGTAGGATGAGCTGACCTGAGAATATGGTTTCATATCTCAAAGCAAAGTGCAAATACCACAAAATCAAGCACCCTTTTTTTTTCAGTCCCCCATGAAAACACAAGTTTTTTAAAATATTGACACGCATGTACAGCAGTCCAGGTTTGGCCAGGGTGTCCAGACAGGTACCAAGTTTTCTTTAAAACTAGGGATAGGCTTACTCAGGAACATCTGTGCCTGTGGTAGTGCCCATCTTTGCACTGCTAAAAGAGTCATGAAACTTTGAAGTTGGCCTTGACTGACTCCATGTATATCAAGCCATTTTAAGAAAGGAGGAGTTCTTTGGTTCAGTTACAATTCGTACTACATGACAAAATGTGCCTGAAAAATGGGCTGTGATTGAACCCCTTATACAATACTTCAACAATGAACTGAATGGGTCAGGCCCTCAGCTGGTTTAAACTAACATTTCTCCCTCAAGTTGAAGGCAATCAACTTGTGAATCTGATTCATCACAAGGAATCAGGAAAACAAATTCTCAGTCTTTGTCAATACATCTTTCTCCCGACAGACCTCCAGTACAATTACAAGATACAGATATGTGTTGAAGTAGGATTCGTCTGCAGCTACACCTAGCTGTAGGTGGCCGCGGATGTGTATCATGTCTCGCTTCTCATTATAGGCAATGGGGACTTAGTTGATGGAGTTCAGTTGATTCATCTGGCTAGATGTAGGTGTCTGTGTTAGGGTGAGATGACTCGTGATAAACTCTACTGATGATATCGATTAATTCATCACTGACTATAAAAGGAGTTTAGAGGTACTGGTTCAGATGTTCACATGTACGGGGCAGGCAGTGGTATTAGTAAGTGAATCACCCCCAAAGGGACAATTATGATAGCACTGAGGTGTCTCACTGAGCTTTTCCAAGCTCTGCGCAAACCTAAATAACAGCAATGTATGCCCCCAAGAATGTAACCTACAATCAAAAAATACGTAACCTGCCTTCTAAAAGTACTAGGAGTAGTCAGTAAGAATAATATGCATTAAAAGAATGAAAGAAGTAGAGTTTGGAAACCAGCCCAGCCCCTCCCATGCAAACTGGCTGGCATTTTTTCATCTGTGCACTAGAAAAAGTAAGAGGCAGGACTCACAGGGAGCTGTAAGCTCCCAACTCTCTGACTGCTCCTACATTTAGAAGGCATGCCCCAATACCCACAGGGAGGGTTGGGCACATATCTCATTTATATAGAAGCACTGTAATCTTATGTAGAAAAAACTGCTTTTTATTTATCTTTCAGAAATACCTTTACTCAGACAAAACGTCAAAGGCATATTGTGTGATAGGCATAGAATGAGAATGTCTGCTTTTCGTGCTATCAAAAACACAAGTGACACTTATGGAGTGATAAACAAGATGCAAGTCTGCAGAACGTGTGGTGTGTACTGGCAGGGGTGAGCCTGGAGCTCCCGGCCCTGTGCTACCCGGGAGCTGCTGCTCTGTGGAAGAGAACTGATGGAAAAGCAAAAATAGTGGAACAGTAGGCATTGGTTTATGAAGAAATACTGTGTAAGACAAAGAGGCCAAGCTTGGTCAGTCCACAAGCAGGGAAAGTCAGGCATGGAAAGCCTCTGAGCTTAAGTTAGAAGTTTGGAAGATGGGGAGACTGCTTTCAAAGGAGATTCAAGAAGAACGAACAGAGGAACAATTTTCTTACTGCAGCATTTTTAACTTGCGGACTACCTAGGGTTATGAAGCTTCTTTTTTGGAGCATATTTGAACTGCACAGGGAGCTGGAGTATATAGTTCAAAACCAGTTCTGTACTAAAATATCTGATTTAATAATTTCTGTTGCATAGCTTTGCATGGCTAATGCATAGTGTTCTTTTGGAAGAAGAGGAAAGATAGGATATCTAGTTCATTGGAATCTTTCTCTCCCTAGCTTTTAGGATGAAGTTTGTCATCTCCTGTAGAACTGAGCAGCTGAATATTAGTTACCTGAATGCAGTCCTATATGGTTCTGCAGTTGACAAAGACATGGACATGAAGCAGTGTGTCTTCAGTGGGATAGCTGAGCCTGTGAAAAGGAAATTGGCCTCAAATACTTCAGCAGCCAGTGTGGAACTGATGGTAGAATTTCCTAAAACTAAGTCAGAGCAATCCCACCACACTGCCCACTTCTGAGAAGGAAAACAAAGCTATACATAACAGTTTCTCTTTGTTATCTTTAGGAAAAGGATATTTGCATTTAAGTTACTATTAATGAAAGTTGATGGACTACAGATTATATCTTTTTTCTGGCTAGCACAATTGCTACATTTGAATTAAAGAGACAGTTCAAATTTTTCAATGGGAATGAATTCCTGTAATCTGTAAAACATATGTTTTTGAAATGGATTCATGCTGCTTGCATGTATTAACTCTCTTAATTCAACTATATCATAAACCAAACTTTGCTGAAGTAGTGTGGGATGGACAAGAGACATCAAAATGCTAGGGAGTGGAAGGATGGTCACAGTCTTTTCTTATGATCTTGAGCAAATCTCAGTTAACCTTTCTGTACCTCAGGTTTCCCAGCTATAAACTGAGGCTAAAATTCATATTTCCTGGAGAGCTGCTGCTAGACAGCATTCCAGTGTTTGTAAAATACCACAGCGAGATGCAGGGCATCATCACTGTATGCTGGTTGTCAGAATATACATGGAGGGGAAAGAAATGCATGAATGTGTTAAAATAAGCTGTAATTTCTTTATGGAGGCTTGGGCAGAATTCCAGTTGCTTTAAATCGTGTATTTAATTAATATCTATTCCATTCAAGCACTGCATCCCAACCTGGAGCTGACGTTGTATTTGCTTTGCTATAAACATAATAGGATGAGTTTGTGGCAGAAGAGAAGGCTTATTTTAAGCTTCTTATAGATATTTATGAAATGAATGTTTCCTGATCCTGCAGAGGGGAGGGGGAAATAAAGCAAGCAAGTCATACCTGGATTAGGACAACACCACCTTCAACGAGCAAGCTCAGTCCTGGTGTCACTGAGACCACTGGCAGGGTCAGAGCTAGAATTAACTCTGTCAGCTGCAAACATATCCCTCTGTGAGAGATCACAGATGGACCTAGACATGCAGGTGTGGGAGCTCAGCTCTGGCCCAGATGGAAAGTGGAGCTGAGGAGGCAGCAACCTGCAGAGAACATCCCTGCTGCAGTCACCGGATGGATGCTGGTTAGTGCACTGGTGCCCTTTCATGGCACAGGGAGCATGTGGGTTGCAGGATGCTGAGCAGCACCAGCCTCTCGGGTGTCTTGGTTCACAGGCATTGTTTCATGTATCTTTGTGCCTCCTGTTTCTGCTCATATTTGGAGTTGCTGACAGCACCTATTATCCCCATGGATGGACTGAGATACAGGATGTCCCAGGGCCATACTTGGTCTGATGGCTGTACATGTCTAAGTTAGTCCCTGTGCCTGCTGTGACATTCAAGGCCAGGGGAACAAGGGCAGGTTCAAAGTCCTAGGCACCTATCCTTGGCTCCATGTGCAGTCAGTGGAGAGAAGATGTTGCAATGCCTACAAGGAGTAGGCACAATATACCATGCCTGACCTGCCCTAGGCAACACTGGAAGTTTGTGGCAACACAGGGAATCAGAGCTAGATCCTTGATGATTAGTTTTGCTTTTCTCTTGTTGTCTGCTGACGTCAGCTTTAGCTACAGACGTGGGTATTTAAGAATCAGTCTTCATATTCCCACAAGTGGATTAAAATGATGTCTAGTAATTTATGCAGGTTATGAGCATACAGCATATGGAGAATGAGTACTCTTTCCATTATTGCAGTCAGACATCCTTACTCTGAGTTTATTAATCAAAAAGAAACTGTATATCAGATTTTCATATTTAAGCCATAGAAACAGCTGGGCATCCAATAATATTTCTATGAAATCTTAAAGTTGGGAAAGGTTTATAACAAGGGCTGGTGGGCAGAGCAGCTAAATCAGCTTATAGAGCTGATTTCACAGCAGTGAAAAGTAATTAACTCGGTGCCTGCTTGTACATACAACCACTTCTCAGCCAATAAAAAAGAAATAGAGAGATTATGTAGGAGTTCTTGAAAAGTGTCCTCTAACTTTCATTTCAGTTGACACTAGAAGTTGATGGCTAGGGACCCGGAATTGTTTAGTTCTAAGTTTCTGTTTCTACTTTGCATTGGTTGGTCTGACCGTTGGCTGGTTGGTGATCTCTTTTAGTGACATTTTATTAAAAAAACAGCATTTTTTTTTTCCAGTGGATAGGAATTCCTGTAGTGAAATAACGGCTTTCTTGGATGCCCTAGCAGACACAACATGGATTTGTCAATAAAATTAAGTGCTAGGGAAAAGAAAATTCTGCTATTAGTGTTGCACTGGAAATCCCTTGGCCCTCAGGAAATCAGAAGCACCCAGTCCATGCCACTAGTCAGTAACTACTACATCATCAAGAAAAAGTTTTTAAAGAAAGGAAAAAAATTAGCCTGTCAAACTCTTTGGCACTTCATCTTCCTTTACACTAGTTTTATACAGAACTAACTCTGTTGGCATCTGATTTACTCAGGTCAAAAGGAGAATAGGCCTTTTCTCTGTGTAGTTTTTCTAGTACATTTTCATGTCTCAGTTGTGTCATCGTTTTTTTGCTAGACAATATTAAATAGTTGTAATACTAAACTGCTTGTATTAAGGTGATGTATGTAACAGTAATGAACTGGACCCTTCACAGAGCTGAAGCTTTCACAGAGACATAAGCCAAGGCAACAACAGACAAACAAAATGTCCATCCAGATGTTAATGAAACAATACATTCCTTTTATAGTTTGGTTGAAGACATAAGGCTATGTCTTTTAACTAAAGACAGCCATAATAAAGCAAACAGAATTGAAAGCATTAATCCAGCTTTCGTTAAATAAATTGTCTACATTGTGGCGTGTGCAGACTCTGTTAGAAACAGACTGAATTACAGCCCTGACAGTCTCTCATCCTCCAACACTTTGTTTTAACTGGATCAACTCTCTGTTCACTAGATATGTTACTGGGTTTATTTTAAAGCCATACTTCTTTTTTTTTTTTTTTTTTTTTAATCAAGGGTTAAGCTTATGTTTATTTCAGGCTTCAGAAGAGTATTTTTCTTTGCCAGTGGAGAATCTGCATCAGCTATGAATGACAAAAAAGGAAAGCTGACTCATGGCAAAGATTCGAAAGAAGTCAGTGGGAACATTTGAGAAATAGGAATCTATGCCCTACCATGGAAGGACATGTGGACTACGGGCCAAAAATGACTAGGGCATCATTTCACCGAAGCTACATCAAGGGTAACTTTGATGCTTTGCCATGAGGCAAAGAGTTCTCAAGTGAGACACTCATGTCCCATGAAACTAACACATCCAAGTGCTCCGATGAGGAAAACTGCCCACCATCTCAGGGAGGACATTCAGAATGAAAGCAGTCTGGGCTTAGGTTAAGAGGAATGGTCAACTCTGAATGTTGCGAAGATAAGCCTGTTAAGCAACTTGTTATTACAAGTCGTCCATGATGAACTTGTGACGTGTTGGTAGAAAGTGAAAGCATCTTTCAAAGAAGTTATCCTTGTGTTCTTTGCCATTTATGTGGTGAAGCTTCAGTTTGGATTCTATTTTAAGTAGTAATTGTTTATAATGATGACTGTTAACATGTACACTCTTTGGCCCTCAGAGATCTCAAAGAGCTTTTACAGATTACATATAAGATCACTTTGTTGACTTTGTTGATATGAATGTTTTAAGCACAGGAAATGTTGAGCCCATGAGGGTCTGTTCCTGTAGCACCTGCTACACACCAAGTCCAAAAACTAATCTAAGTCAAATATGAAAGGCTTTCTGTTTTCTTAGCTAGACAGCATGGTTGGAAAGATGCTTCCTCTTAGATCCTAGCTCTTGGGCGACTGTTTTAATTAGGAACATGTAGAGTCACGTTTTGCCTTCTGAAGGAACAAAAGCATGGAAGTCCTCAGTCCTAAAAACCACTGTCTCAAATTCCATTTTCTGTTCTTTGGTCCCAAACACAGAGCAAACCTGAGAAAATAAATACCCCTAATGCACGTAGACAACTTTGCTGCTAGTGCTGAAAACATGAATTGCAGTCTTGATGGCAGTGTCAAATCAGACAGCTGAGCTGGCAGCCTTTGCACTTTTCAAGGATTGTTCCTTGTCTGTGATCCATAAAGTTTAAGTTTCTCTTTCTCTAGTTAATAAAGAATGGCAAAATTGGAGCTCACTAAAAATTTTCAAGTTCATATTTTGTGCTTGAAGCAAGTTTACTTACTTTTTAAGTGAACTAACTTTAGCTTTCTCAGCATTTTTTCTTTGCTGGTGCTTTCAAGCTTTAACTCTTCAGATAATGTAAGCTAATTCTACAAAGGACGTGCTGGGTGAGAAGCTGTCACTGTTGTGTGAGAATGTGTCTTTGTGAGTTTACTTGGACTGTTCTGTGTTTCTCTTTGCTCAGGGAAACTGTACGGTGCAGATGACTTCCTCCCTGTGCTCATGTATGTGTTGGCCCGCAGCAACTTGACTGAAGTCCTTCTGAATGTGGAGTATATGATGGAGCTCATGGACCCTGCTCTGCAGCTAGGGGAAGGTAGAGTACAGTGTTTGCTCCTGGGATATTCACTTTGGAAATCATTATTTGCTGCACTTCAGTGTTTGTCAAAGTAGGGCAGCAAGGCTTTGTGGATAAGTTTTGGACAAGCATTTCAAATCTGAGGCACTAAAATTATTGTCAAACACTTTAACTGGTTTTTAGCAGTGCAATGCCCTTAGAAACTAGCTAGAAAGGCAGGGACCCAGCATAAATGAGAACTGAGTTGCTGGATTAGTAACTTAAAGAGACATCTAGTGTTCCTTGGCCCAAAGGCTGAAAAGTTAAAAGATCTTTGCCGAAAATTAAATTGCTGCTGCAATCCATTGTGTGGACACTTTTATTTATTCCAATGAGAAAGGAGTGCATTTCTTAAACTGCACTGTATGCCTGGGGCCATACATCATTCTCACCATCACTCTACTCTTAAGTTTGAGTGACCCCTTTGACAATGTTCTCTGGCTGAGTATCATCGCAAGGCAGAGGAAAGAAAGTGGGGTTAGAGAAGAATATTAGGTTTGGATGTGAATAAAAACCTCTGCTATTAGAAGGATGAACACCCCAGGGAACTGAGGGCCTTTAGTTTCTTAAATATAGCTTGGGAAGCAGATGCTACTAACAGTGACAGGGTTACGCAGTCTGAATTAGGAACACAGATCATTTCACACCAAGTAGTCACTACACCAGTAAAATGGGGTTTATTTCAGACTTTGTTTTGGTAAGTACTGAGGACATCCCAGATGAACAACAGCAGGCTAATTTTATTTATATTAAATGGAAGAGTAAGTCTGTAACTAAGAGCATGTCATCCAAGCACAGTGCAGAGGTAGGCAAAAGTGAGTACTAACAGAATGAGCAGTAGCAATACAATCGTATTAGTGAGGGGTTTTGCCACAGGCTAGTTTTCCT